GTAATGATTTCGATTGAATAGAAGAATCAATATTACAAATAATAAAGATACATGTTTATATCGTTCCAGTTCCAACCAATTTGAACAAAAACGAGCGATGCTTATTAAGTCGAAATCACTTTAATGTTATTCACTTTTCTTTCATAATTTCCTTTTGCTATCAATTGAAAATTCATTTTGGGCAAATCATTTTCGATAATTTGTTTTCATTCTTTTCCATACATATGACAAGATAATACACATTCTATCTTCGCTTTGACTTAGAAGAAGTTAGGCATCCACAAAATGCGAAATGAAAGCAAGAGTTTCCAATCGATACAGACATATGTTGAAGATTAGGTATGTCCAACAAGATGTGCTATATCATAGTCAAAACCATCAAGATTCACAATAGACAAATATTCAAAAATTGATGAAATGACTGTAGGTACTACGAAACAGGCAAGAATAATATTCAGAGACAAAAGCCTCATGAAAATAATAACAAATGAGTTTGGACTAAGGAGATAATCCTGACATGGTTACATCCTCAATGTGATCACTTTCAAAGGAATGAATTGCCAAGGTGTGAAATCGTGACATAGCTATCGAAGATCGACATCATAACTGTGAAAATAATGATGTAGATAGGAATTCAAGTGAGATCTGAGATCATGAAATGCATTTAGTAAATGAACAATAGAAAAAAATTCGAATAAATCAAGTAATAATTCCTTGACTAGCTTACACCGTTACTCTGTGACTTGTGTGGGCTATTATTATTTGATTTAAAAGTTATTTTTTACTATTACTACGGTACCTCCTATGGGGAGAAAAGTAATGGGAAAAGTGCTTATATCCTTCTTCTGTATTTCATAATCCTTTCGCAACTTATATGAATTATTACGAATCTGACTTACTCGTTTGTATGTTGTGTGTTAGAGACTATGTTTTTACATAGTAAGAGACACAGTTGATTTTCTTTATATACTAAATTGTTCACTTCATAAGAAAAACTTGGACAGATACTTGATCCAAAGTCAGCATTCAAGCAGCTAATGGCAAACAACTTTTCAACTAACATGCGAGCAACCCTTTTGATGATCATGAAACATATCGACGTGTTGCAGCTCTTCAAGCTAGGAGATGAAAGAGACGCGACTCTCATTGATAATGAATGCGGATAAAGCTTTGTATGAATACTTTTATCATGTCGTTCTCGGTGACCTTAGATCTTGCAAGACTAGTTTTTTAAATAGTCGATCGATTAGGTATGAATGCAAATCGATGTCTACTCGAGTATATATTGAATCACATTATTTGAGACATTGCTCACTGCTAACGATGAGCAAATTACGACAGATATTTGTTAAAGGATAGAACAACGACAAATTTTTCTCATATGCGCTGATCTTCATCAAGTACAAGT